AGGGAATCATCCCACAGGGAAATCCCAAAGGGAATCATCCCAGAGAGAATCCCAAAGGAAATCCCAGAGGGAGTTTCAGAAAAAATCCCAAAGGGAATCCCAGAGGGAATCATCCCAGAGGAAATCCCAAAGGGAATCATCCCAAAGGGAATCCCAGAAGGAATAATCCCAAAGGGAATCATCCCAGAGGGGATGATCCCAAAGGGAATCCTAAAGAGAATTCCACGATGGGAATTACTGGTGGTCCCGTGTCTTGGGATTCCCAAATCCCAGAGTTCCCACATGCCAGAATTCCCAAATCTCAGCATTCCCAAATTCCAGCATCCCACACTTCAGCATTCCCAAATCCCAGAATTCTCAAATCCCAGCGTTCCCACACTCCAGAATTTCTCACTCCAACATTCCCAAATCCCAGCATCCCCATATCCCAGTGTTCCCACATTTCAGCTTTCCCAATCCCAAATTCCCAACCCCAGAATTCCCAAATCCCAGCATTCCCACACCCCAAAATTCCCAAATCCCAGCATTCCCACACCCCAACATTCCCAAATTTCCCAAGCCTCCCCTCAACCCCAATTTCCCCTCATTTCCAGAGGCAGAAGCACCCCAGGATTTGGAATTCCCAAGCCAATCATTAATTAATGGATTAATCATCGATTATGGAATGAATCAATCCCAAATTCCCGGTTTTTTTTCCCGGGAATTTGGATCCCAAATTTCACCTTTTTGTCCCACTGCTGGTGGAGGTAGCGCAGGAGGATGTTTGTCTTCTCTGTCACAATAACTGGGGAAAATTCCAGGAAAAAATTCCAGGTTTTTGGGGGGATTGGGATGGGTGAGGAAGGGAGGGAAAATTGGGGATTGTCAGGGGGAAAAATCGGGAATAAAATAAAGGGGAAGTTGGGAAATAAAAGGGGGGAAATTGGGAATAAAGAAGGGGGAAAATGGGAAAAAATAAAGGGAAAATTGGGAATAAATGAGGGGGAATTTGGGAATAATTAAGGGGGATATTGGGAGTAATTAAGGGGAATATGGGAATAAATAAAGGGAAAATTAGGAATTAACAAGGGGAAAATTGGGAATTAATAAAGGGAAAATTGGGAATTCATATGGGGAAAGTTTGCAATAAATAAGGGAAATATTGGGAATATATAAAGGGAAAGTTGGGAATAAAGAAAGAGAAAAATGGGAATAAATAAAGGAAATATTGGGAATTAACAAAGGGAAAATTTGGAATAAATAATGAGAAAATTGGGGACAGACAAGGGGAAAGCTGGGAATCAATAAAAGGAAAATTGGAAATTAAAAGGGGGAATAGAGCAAGGGGAAACTGGGATTTGGGGATTTCAGGAAAACCAGGATTTTCCCAGGAAAACTCACTCTGTTCCGAGGGGAATTCTCTGGTGGGCAAATACACCGAGGGCCGGCGGTTCTGGAATGGGAATTCCAACAAATGCTCAGGAATGGGAACAGGAATTCCAACAAATCCTCAGGAATGGGAACAGGAATTCCAACAAATCCTCAGGAATGGGAACAGGAATTCCAACAAATGCTCAGGAATGGGAACAGGAATTCCAACAAATGCTCAGGAATGGGAACAGGAATTCCAACAAATCCTCAGGAATGGGAACAGGACTGGGATTGGGAATGGGGGGGGGGGGCTGGGAATAAATTTGGATTTGGGAATGCTGGGATTGGGAATTACTGGAATGTGGGAATGCTGGGATATAGAAACACTAGGATTTGGAATCCTGGGATGTGAGAATGTTGGGACTTGGGAATTCCAGGATTGGAAATGTTGGGATTTGGAATCCTGAGAGAATGCTGGGATTTGGGAATTCTGGGATTCAGAAACTCCAGGATCTGGGAACACTGGGATGGGGAATGGTGGGATTTGGGAATTCCAGGATGAGGAATGGTGGGATTTGGGAATTCCAGGATGGGGAATGGTGGGATTTGGGAATTCTGGGATTGAGGAATTCCAGGCCCAGGAGCACTCACGGAAGCCTTGCAGACGGAATCCGCATGGAATCTGCTGAAGTTGCTCTTGTTGTACACCGGGAGCCCCTTCAGGAAATCTGCCTGGAGAGCCAGAATTCCCAAAAATCCCTCAGGGAAGGAGCAGGGACAGCCCAGGGAATGCTGGCAGATCCCAGGGATTTGTGTCCAGCCCCAAATTCCAGGGATTGAGCAGAAAATTCCCAGGATTTGGGAAGCTCAAAGTTTTTCTTTCCCAGGTAAAATTCCCAGTGTGATTCCAAAGCTGCAATTCCCAACCCTTGGGACAACTGGGAATGTTTTTAATCCAAGCCCATGGAAAAATTCCCACCCCAAAATTCCCAACGGATGGGATTCCCAATTCCTTAATTCCCAAAAAACCTGAGGGTGGAGGAGCCACCCAACCCCCCCCCCAAAACTGAAAGTGGGGAAGCCCCCAAATCCCAGAGGGATCCCAAAATATTCCAACCCCCCCCAATATTCCAAGTGGGAGCACCCAGCACCCCTAAGTCCCCCTTTAAACAAATGGTTCAGTCCCATCTTAGGGTGACCGCTAAACCACCCCCATAAAACAAATGGTTCAGCCCCACTTTAGGGTGTCCCCCTCAACTCCCCCCACAAAACAAATGGTTCATCCCCATTTTAGGGTTCCCCTCCTAAAACACCCCCAAAAACAAATGGTTCAGCCCCACCTTAGGGTGTCCCCCTAAAACCTCCCCACAAAACAAATGGCTCAGTCCCACTTTAGGGTGCCCCCCATAAAACAAATGGCTCAGTCCCACTTTAGGGTGTCCCTCTCCCATATTGGGATTCTCCAACCCCACCCCGAGCCCGCGGCACCCCTGGAACCCCTAAATCCTCAAACCCACGCAACACCCCCTGCCCTTCCCCTGCACCCCCAAATCCTCCGGACTCCCCAAACCCCGCCCTGAAACTCCCCCTCAACCCCAAATCCTCCGGATCCCCCAAACTCACCCCTGAGGCTCCCCTGCACCCCCAAATCCTCCGAAACCCCCAAACCTCGCCTTGAGACTCCCCCTCACCCTCAGCCCCCTCCAGCCCTGAGGGCGGGAACCCCTCACACCCCCCCACCCCCTCAGCCCCGCCACTCCTGCCCAGGCCGCGGCGGGCGCGGTCCCTCAAGGCCGGAGGTGGCCGCAGTTCCGCCCTTGCGGTACCGGGAAGGCCGCAGCCGGTGCTGCGAGGCCCGGGAGCCGCGGCCGGGCTGCTGAGGCCGGCCCGGGGCCGCCATTGCGGCCGGGGTCTCACGTACCATCTTCGCCGCCGCCAGCCGGGAGGAGCCGCCCCGGCCCGCCCACTGCCAAGGCCGCCCGCCCGGTACGCGCCGATTGGTTCGCGCAGAGAAACGCTGCGTTTTTATTGGACAGGACGCCTGTCAATCATCGACGGTAAGGTTGGGTTGAGGCAGGAAGTGGACTCGCGGAAGGGCGGGCCGGGTGCAGCGCAGAAGGACCCGGATGGAGCGCGGCGTGGGGCATACTGGGAGTCGTAGTTTGGGCCGCTGGCTTGCTCGTTAATTATGCGGTGGCTCATTAAGCGGCAGCTCATTAGCGGCGCGGGAAGAAGGTTTCCTTCCCTTTATCCCATCCCAGAGCTGCTGCTGGAATCAGGATCCCAGAGGACGGAGCAGCGAAGGAGCAGAGGCGCTGCTGAGTGAAGCCAGCCTGAATTCCATGCCTAATTCCAAAGATCCTTCCCAAATATCTGCCCCTGGAACACGCCAGATTCCCCCTTCCTCATTAAACTTCCCATCCTAATTAACGCAGGAAATTCCAGGCGGCACGCTGGAATTGAACCACACTCCGCATTCCCACGTTTATAAACAAAAACAAAAAGTAGGGAATAAACACATGGGAAAACCGAGGATAATTTAACAATTGGAGCAGCAACCGCGTCCCAAACCCCTCCGAGGCCACGCAGGTGACAGGGACAGCAGAGCTGGCCACGACCTCCATGGCTCGGCGGGATCATCCCGAACTCCCGGAGAATTCCCGGAGAATTCCAAAGCGTCCCTCAGTGGCTAAGGGATTTCCTGCCCTTGAGCATTCGGCGCAGGATCACGGCGATCCCGCCGGGCGTTCTGATCCGTTTGATCCAGCCGTGAGTCTTCTTCCGCTTCCAGTTGTTGGGCTGGTATTCGTTCCCTCGGGTTCTTCCACGGATTTGTTGGAAACTCCACGCTGGAATCGGAATGGAGCTGGAAGTCCTGGGAAGAGGCTCCAGAGGGTTTGAGAGCAGCGGGCAGGGAAAACCTTGCAGCAGGGAAAAGCTTGGGAAAAATTCAAGCAGAACAAGGAGTGAGGAGAGGGAAAGAAAGGATAAATTGGGAATTTGAGGGTTGGAATTTCCCCTGCCGGTACCTGCGGCCCCCGACCCGCGCCCACACCCGGCCCAGCGCCGCCATTTTGCTCTGTCCGCCAACAACGCCGCTTCCCATTGGCTCAGTCCTCCAGCCAATCACAGCCGGAGCTGAGCCGCACGGGCTGATGGGGGTTGTAGTCCTCGATGGGGGGTCGTGACGAAGTTACCACGGCAACGGCCCCACCGCGGCCTTGTTGTGGCTTGTCCCCAAGGCTGTCGCGACAGGGCTCAAAGCCACTCCCAGAGGGCTGGAGAGTGACTTGGGCTAAGGGATGGAATTCGAGGACACAGGGAACGGCTTCAGACTGGAAAAGGGGGATTTGGGTGGGATTTGGGAAGTAATTCCTGGCTGGGATAGTGGAAGGTCCAGGATGGGACTGGATGGGATTTCAGGTCCTTCCGAGCCCAACAATTCCAAGATCCCACTTTTACTATTCCAGATCAATCCCAGACCTGTCCCAAGAGCAGGAATAGCTCCGGGCTTTTTCTCTCCTTGTTTTTGTGTCACTCATGGCACTGTCACCTTCATGGCACTGCCACACGTGTGACACCTTCATGGCACTGCCAACCTCATGCCACTGTCCTGTGTGACATGATTGTGACACTGCCACATTCATGGTACTCCCACGTGTGTGACACCTTCGTGGCAGTGACAGGTTTGTGGCACTGCCACCCTCATGGCCCTGTCACATGTGACACAACTGTGGCACTGTCACCCTCATGGCACTGCCACACCCGTGCCCTTTGCCACCCCACAACTTCCACACTGTCACCACCCCATCCCAAATGCCACCTCTGTACTGTCCCTGTCCTGTCCTTGTCCCCATCCCTGTCCCCTCCTGTCCCGCTGTCCCACACGGAGCTGGCACTGTCCCCATCTGTCTCCTTCTGTCCCTGTCCCCATTCTCATCCCTGTCCCTTCCTGTCCCCCCCGAACCCGTGTCCCTCCCAGAGCTGGCACTGTCCCCATACCCGTCCCCTCCTGTTTCTGTTCCCTCCTGTCCCA